GTTATTTCTCATCTCATTTATTTCACACTGCCAATTTAGTTTGGTAGTTCTCTGTGATAGGTTTCTGTTTATTTATCATTTGTGTCTGTTTTGATTGTTTAGTGGTTACTGTGAGGTTTGTATAAAAAATCTCATAGATGAGATAGTCCATTTTCTGACAGGCTCGTATTTTCTTAGTCAGAGCAAGTCCCATCCCTTTTCTTTTCCTCTTCTAAGTTATTATTGTTACAACTTACTCCTTTTAGTGTTGTCAGTATGTGACGAGATTATATTTATTTTTGTTATTTTCCTTCCCTTTATCTTTATTTTTACAATTAAGTGTTTGCTAACCTGTCCTGACAGAGAGCTGCAATTTTCTGATTTTGTCTGCCGGGTTATCTCCTTGCTCAAATATTTGTAAACGCTTTTTTATCCAGGTATAAGGGACTTCTAGATCATTTCTTGTTTGTGGAGTGGGGAGCCTTGTGGTGATGCACTCCCTCAGCTTTGGTTTATCTGGAAGTTTTTTAATTCTCCATCATATCTGATGGATAATTTCACTGGCTAGAGTATTCTTGGCTGAAAGTTTTTGTTTTTCAGAATGTTGAATATATCATTCTACTCTCTCCTGTCCTGTAAGTTTTCTCCTGGGAAATCCCCTGAAATCCTGATAAGAGTTCCGTTGTATTTTATTTTCTTCTGCCTTGCTGCCCTTAATATTTTTTCTGTCATTGACTTTTGCCAGTTTTTTTTTTTTTTTTTAAAGATTTTATTTTTTCCTTTTTCTCCCCAAAGCCCCCTGGTACATAGTTGTGTATTCCTCGTTGTGGGTTCTTCTAGTTGTGGCATGTGGGACGCTGCCTCAGCGTGGTCTGATGAGCAGTGCCATGTCCGCGCCCAGGACTCGAACTAATGAAACACTGGGCCACCTGCAGCGGAGCGCGCGAACTTAACCACTTGGCCACGGGGCCAGCCCCTGACTTTTGCCAGTTTTACTAATATATGCCTTGGAGAAGGTCTTCTTACATGGATATAATTAGGAGTTCTATTAGCTTCTTTTACTTGTAATTCCAGCTCCTTCCCCAGGTTTAGGAATTTTTCAGTCATTAATTCTTTGAACAAGCTTTCTGCTCCTTTTTCCCTCTCTTTGCACTCTGGAATACCTGTTATCCTCATGTTGCGTTTCCTAGTTGAGCTGGATATTTCTCGGAGAATTTCTTCATTTCTTTTTGTTCTCAGTCTCTCTCCGCCATCTGAAGCATTTCTATATTTCTGTCCTCCAAGCTGCTAATTCTGTCCTCCATAATAGCAGTTCTGTTATTTAAGGACTCCAGATTTTTCTTTATTTCATTCATAGTGTTTTTAGTGTTTTTCATCTCCACCATTTCTGATTGTTTTTTCTTTATAGTTTCAATCTCTTTTGTGAAGAATTCCCTCTGTTCATTAATTTTCTTCCTGATTTCATTGAGCTACCTTTCCAAATTTTCTTGTAACTCATTGAGTTTTTCTTTTTTTTTGAGGAAGATTAACCCTGAGCTAACATCTGCCACCAATCCTCCTCCTTGCTGAGGAAGAATGGCCCTGAGCTAACATCCATGCCCATCTTCCTCTACTTTTTATATGTGGGACGCCTGCCACAGCATGGCTTGACAAGCGGCGCATAGGTCCGCAACCAAGATCCGACCCAGCAAACCCCAGGCCGCCGAAGCGGAACATGTGAACTTAACTTCTGCATCACACCACCAGGCTGGCCCCTCATTGAAGTTTTTATGGTAGCTGTTTTGAATTCTCTGTCATTTAGATTGTAAATTTCTGTGCCTTTGGGATTGGTTTCTGGGTGCTTGTCATTTTCCTTCTGGTCTGGAGTATTAATATACATTTTCATGCTGTTTGATGGGGTGGACTTGTGCCTTTGCATAGTGGAAGTATCTGGTCACAGATTCTATCTGCTGCCACCGGGGGCAAGCAGGAGCTGTGTATTCTGAGCCTGCTGCTATCCTGGCATGTATGCCTGTCCTTTGGAAACGCTGATGGGGCATGTTTGTGATTGCCCACTGGCCACTGCTACTTTACAAAGGTATGGGCATGCACTCTGGTGGGGGTCCCTTGCTCTGCCCCACCAAGCTGGTGCTCCAGGTGGGGAAGGTGTGCTTCCTTTCACCTGCGTGATCACAAGGATGTTCTCACTTTTCCCTCGCTGTCTGCCCTCCTCAGGTGCTGGCTTGATGAAGACACCCTGACAATTGCTTGGCCTCCCCTGTGTGGGGCTTTCCCATAGTTGGGAGGCAGCTTGGAGAGCAAAGGTGTTCCCTTGGAGAGCTACCCCTCCCCTCTCCTTGCAGAGTTGCATGCAGTCCTACACCCTAGATCGCTGCTGGGGAAGGAGAGGAGATCCCCTTACCTCCTTCCGCTTCCTTCTGGGGGTCCAGCACCTCCACCTTCAGAGGTATGGCTCTGTGGGTCTCTTAGACGTCTGTTGTGTTGTGTGAATGTCCTGTGTTGGTTTATGAATGTTCTTTTTATTGTATCTTAGCGGGGAGAGTCTAAGGGAGGAGCTCACTCCATCATGATGCTGATGTCACTCTCCCCAAATATCTTTTAAAGAGCTGTGGAGGAAATCATCTGTTCTGTAGTATTTACCTTTCTGTCACTTTTGTTTCATTCTTCATGTCCCCAGTGACCTCCTGGTAGCATTTCACTTATATCTGAAGAGCTTCATTAGTCTTCTGTCTATGAGTTCTCTTAGTTTTTCTTTATCTGAGAATGTCCTTATTTCATGTTCATCCCTAAAGGATATTTTCGATTGATGTAGGATTCTGGGTTGACACTTCTTTTCTTTCAGACTTAACAAGTATCATTCCACTTCCCCAGGGTCCCTGGTTTCCAAGGAGAAATCCACAGGCATTCAAATTGCTCTTCTTCAGGTAATGAGCTATTCTTCTCTGGCTGTTTTCAAGATATTTTTCCTTTGTCTTTAGTGTATACCAGTCTTGGATTTCTTCAGATACACCCTGTTTGGCTTTCATTGAGCTTCTTGGATCTGTGGACAAAAGTCTTCTGCAAAATTTGGGAAGTTCTCAGTCATTGTTTTCAACTATTTTTCAGCACTACCCACTTTCTGCTGTCCGTCTTGCATTCTGACACAAATGTTAGATCATTTCTCTTGTCCCAGAAGTCCCTGAGGCTCTTCGTTTTTTTCAGTCTTTGTTCTCTCTGTTGTTCAGATTAGATAATTTCAGTTGTTCTGTTTAAGTTCACTGAATCTTTCCTCTGCTCTTGAGCTCATGTAGGGAGTTTTTAAAATTTTAGTATGGTATTTTGTAATTTGAAAATAATCTTATGGGACCATGGTCATATATGTGGTCCATGGCTAACTGAAATGTCATGGTGCAGTGCATGCCTGTAAAAAGATATCTTTTTTTTTTTTGGCCTGATTTCAATCTTTTCTTTCTGTTTGGGAGTGTTATTGTTTGTTAGAACATTTTTATAGTAGTTGCTTTGAAGTCTGGTACATGATTGTAACATCTGTGTTATTTCAGTGTTGGTATCTGTTGTTTATCTTTTCCCGTAGGAGTCAGGACATTCTTGGTTCTTTGTGTGCTGAGTAGTTTGCATTGCAGCTGAATGTTTTGGATATTATGATCTAGGACCATGGGTCTTATTTAAATCCTAGGTGAATGCTGATTTTTCATTTTAGCAGGCAAACAACATGGTTCGATTTTAGGCTGCAGTTCCAACCTGCCTTGTTTGGTTTGTGATTCAGTATCAATTCTGTTCTCAGAGCCTCTGCAGTGCCATTTCGATCTGTCCTCTGTGTGCTACCCGTGCAGTCTGGGATCTGGCTGTGGGCTCAAGGGACGGTATGAGAGGATCAGATCCATCACCTACAGCTTGGGAGGGGGCCTGACACTCATGAGCAACTTTGTGGGCTTGCTCTTGGGAGCTTCTTCCTCTCCACACTGCCCCTGGGGCTTTCCAGTGCCCTGGGGTTCCCTTTGTGGTTCCCTAGCCAGCATACCAGGGCTTTGGTAACCTGATGCTCTGTGCACTTCCACACCCATGCCTAGTCTGGAGCCCAGTTCTGGGAGGAGTGATTGACTGCTTCTTCCATTCAGTGTTCTTCTCCATCCTGACTGGTGTTCTTTCCTTCTCGGAACAACGTGGGTGCCCCATGTGTCTTGTCTGTGGTTGGGGCTGCGCTGCATGTCCTGTCTGGGGTCAGAGCAGCCTCTCATGTCTTGTCCAGGGTCGGAGTTGCTTGATGTGTCTTATCTAGGATTAGAGCTACTCTCTGTGTCCCATCCAGAGTTGGAGCAGCATTCAGCAGGAGGCACGCTGGAGTATGCCTACTCCTTTTCCCCAGAGCCGGCACAGATTTGTATTTAGATGAGATCTGCTCCGTTTCTATGCTTCTGTACATGAGCCTCAGAGTTCTGCTTTCAGTCTTCTGCTAACGGCCCCCTCCCTGTTTCACCTTGGCCCCTAGCCGTCACCTTAGTAGTCACTGCAGGCTGCCCCTGTACTTCTGGAGGGAGGGCTCTAGCCATTGCCATCTCCATTCCTAACATGTAACCCTGCTTGGAGGTACTGCCTGGGAAACATCCGTGTGCAGGGAAGCCCCCTTGGAGGTTGTGCCGGCCTCCTTGGGGCGGATGTGGTGTTGGAGGGGATGTTCCCTCCTCCAGCCCATGAAGGGGTTGTCACACCCTCCTAGAGAGCCCTTTAGGGACAGCGGTGGCCCCGAGGTGGGAAGGGTGGCATGAAGCGACTGCACATGTGGTGGCCCATGTATCCTGCACCATGACACTCCTGGAGGCGGCAAGAGGCAACATTGTGACTCCCCTGCCAGCGAGCCCTGGGAGAGCTGCTAGACCCCAGGGACTGACTGTGACCATCTCAGCCACCCCAGTGCCCTCAGGAGAGGAGTCAGGCAAGTGGGGGCCTGATTTCCCCATCCCAGAAGGATTGTCAGGTGCCCCTGCCCTTCCTCACAGCACAGGTAGCTTTGTGTTTTGTTCTAGGCCAGGATGGCGGCCCAGGTGACACTGGAGGATGCGCTGTCCAACGTGGATCTCCTAGAAGAGCTGCCTCTGCCTGACCAGCAGCCCTGTATTGAGCCCCCACCATCCTCACTGCTATACCAGGTGTGTGCTGGGCGCCGCGGGTGCACTGCCTGCCATGCCGACCCCCACATGATGGTTGTTCTCTTCCTTTCAGCCAAATTTCAACACTAACTTTGAAGACAGAAATGCATTTGTCACTGGCATTGCAAGATACATCGAACAGGCGACTGTCCATTCTAGCATGGTAATTCCATCCGCACATCTTTGTTTTCCTTGTGGGAATAGCAACTCTGAATGGCAAATGTATGTGTTTTTGGTATTCTGATGGGATACGTAGTGAGGAAAATGAGAGGAAACTGAATGAAATGCCTTATGCTTTTAGAAAAACCTGTGTTTTTCTTATTATAAAAACAATGCATGCTCTCTGAAAATTTAGCACCTATGGCCCAGAGAGAACCTTTCTCAGTATTTTGAGGGAATCCGTTCTCTCTCCTACTTGTATACCTTTACTCGTCATGCCAGGTACTTATGTGATTTAGACTGCATAAGTCAATTGCGGTGTTATTATAATTGTGTATTTTAATGATTTCGGGAACATTTTCACGTCCCGCACAAAGGTGCTAAAGTAATTAATGGCTGGTACATATTGTAAATGCCCACAATTTAACTATTTTTGCATGTTTACTTAGTTTCCCTTTTTTCTTATAATAAAAAGTGCCGTGATGAACACTTTTCTAAATACATCATTATTCTCTTTGGCTAGATTTGTAGAAGAGAAGTTACTGGGTGAAAGGTTGAGAAATATTTTAAGGCATTGTAAAACCATCAAACTGTAGTTGACATTTTCAAGAACATCTCTGCACTTTTTATTGTTTTTATCAAAGGAAATAATGTGGAAGAAGAGTAGACACTAAGGTAGTTTTAAAATGACGGTAGTCCTCTTCCCAAGGATTCTCTGGATTTTAAGTACTGCAGAAACACTTCTAGCTTTTCCTGCCCACACTGGGAACAGCAGAGCTCCCTCAGTCTTCCTTAGGAGCCAGGAGACTCTGTGTGGCCTGGTGGAGAGCCTGTGAGGACCCCGTGCACATTCACAATGCACTGGGCCCTCCCCCGTGTCCCCACCTTCAGGTATGCATTGCCAGTGGGTGGTTTAGGGTTGAGTGGAGCTGCAGTGTAGCAGCTGTGGTGGATGCCCTGTGCGGCCCCGTGCAAAGGTGCCTGCCGGTCGCTGACACCCCTCTCCAGCCTGCAGAAACCTAGGGGTGTTTTGGGCCATCATTGTGGCCACACCACTGCACTGTGGCATCACTAGCTTCTCGGCAGCTCTGTTGGCATGCATGTCCTGTGTTTGTCTGTTCCTTCAGGGAGAGTCAGGGTAGTTTATGCGTCTAGATTTTAGCAATTTGGCATCTTCTTGTTTATGATTGTTCCCCTGCGTGCCTTTGATTTGCCCTATGTCCCCTGCAGAATGAGATGCTGGAGGAAGGCCAAGAGTATGCTGTCATGCTGTACACCTGGAGGAGCTGCTCTCGGGCCATCCCACAGGTGCCCCCAACGTTGCTGGCCACACCCTACTCCTGCCTGCCCAGCCCAGCCCAGCCCCTCCCTCATCCCACAGACCATGTCTTCATCTGAAACACACCACACCTCTATCCCTTCCAGCCCTGCCCCACCCGTACCACACCCCCATATCCACTGGTCACCTGGGACCCCAGCTCTAACAGCGGCCTTGTCCTCTCACTCCCAGCTGGGTTGAAGCCTCTTTACCTTGCTTTTCCCCAGGTGAAATGTAATGAGCAGCCTAACAGAGTGGAAATTTATGAGAAAACTGTGGAGGTCCTCGAGCCTGAGGTCACAAAACTGATGAATTTTATGTACTTCCAGGTAAAACAGCGCTGTAATCCTCAAGGTTTAATGCAGAGGGGTAGGGATGCTAGTGCTATCTCATCTATCACTGTGGACCCAAGAACAAAGCACATGTAAATTAAAACAACCACACAGCCTCTGAGATAAAAGGGAACTAAGGTGTTGATGGTCTAAAACCTCACTGGCTCTTTCAGAATAGATACTTCTCTTGCATTTCACTTTTCTTCTCTCTGAGTGAATTCACATTTCCTCCACGAAGGCTGCTTTCTATCCTTCCGAGCACTGTTGTCCTTCTGCCAGTCCTACTTGGGATTCACCTGGTTTCTCAGGTGTTTCTTTCTCTCATCCTCACCCTGACCTTTGCTGTGGTGGTCCTCGCCCTGACTGTCCACCCCAGTGGTCCCTACCTTGGCCTTGGCTCCTCTGGCGTTTTGGGTAGGCAAAGTGGCCAGAGGGAGGAGACTTGCTGGCTTTTTAAAGATGTGCTTTGGACATGTGAGAAAATTTTTCTTACAGACTCCTTTAGCAAAGGGAGAAGATAGAACTTGTTAGCAGATGAATTTTTGTTTTATCTTAAATATCGTCCAGAAGAAAACTCCCCCTCACTTTTTTCACCTCTGAAAGTTAAAACATCTCTTTATAAACATTCTGCTGGAGCATTTTGCTCAGTGACTGCTGAATAATCAACAAAATTCTTTTACTTTAGGGAAGTAGTTGGTAAAGTAGAAAAGTACAAAATAAATCGTGGTTGTCATTGGTGTGTGGGAATTACTTTATAGAAACATGTCTTTTGACCTGAGCTGCAAACATCCACTCATTTGGGTGTATATTTTATCAACAAGTAACAGTGAATCCAGACTCTGTGCTTGAAGCTGAGCGTGGAGTCAGCCTATCATTGACAGTGGCTTTTCTGCCTTCCTTCGTTTGTGCAGAGAAATGCCATTGAGCGTTTCTGTGGGGAGGTGAGGCGCCTGTGCCACACGGAGAGGAGGAAGGACTTTGTGTCTGAGGCCTACCTGATCACACTGGGCAAGTTCATCAACATGTTTGCTGTGCTGGATGAGCTGAAGAACATGAAGTGCAGTGTGAAGAACGACCACTCAGCATACAAGAGGTGAGCTTTGGCCTTGTGCCTTTGGGCCACGTGGATAGTGCTGGGGAGGTGGGATGGTGCCTCATCAGTTGGCTGTCCTGCACATAGTTGGTGCCCATCCCATGTGTTCTGAAATAAGCGCTATGGGTTGGTAGTGGTTGCTCAGCAGTCTTCGAACTGTTTGAATACACACCCTTAGGAGGTGGGGGTAGCCAGCAGATTGTTTGCGCTGCAGTGCAGCGCTGTGTCCTCATACACATGTGTATATTATGGTTTCGTGAAGTTAGAGTGGGATCTGAGCATCCTCGTCATCCCCAAGTGTTTGTTGAGGACCTCTGGGTGCTCAGCACCCTTGGGAAGACAGAAGCGCAACGACCAGTCCCTGCTCTCAGAGTGCTGGGGTCGCTGCAGGGCCTTGGCCTGGTGAGCATCTTGACAAGGGGGCAGGTGGGTTCTGTGGCCTGAGGGCGCCCCCTCTGCTCATCACTCACTGGTAGGATGTCCGTCACAGCAGTGGGCAGAGCTGGAGCTTCCAGGTCCTGGACCAGCTCTCCTCCAGGGTGGTTTTCTTTTTGAACGTGAAGAACTTCTGGAGAAGAGAACTGGAAAAGCTGGGCATGGCACAGCAGTGCACTTCTGAAAAACCATGAAGGGGCAGTTGGTGGCAGGCAGAAGGAAGGCCGTTGGTCAGAGCAGAGTCAGCTGTCTTCCGATCAACTTTCTTAGAAAATATGCTCAGTACTGTTGAAGGCATGATTGGCTTGAAGGAGATGCTGACATCTGTTTCTTCCGTTAGACAAGGAATCTTGGCTATGAAATTAAATTTGAAGAGTTTACTTTGCATCTGAATACACTGTAGTTAGGTTGCATCTAAAAATCATACAACTGTTGCGTCTTTAAAATAAAATCGACTTGGGATACAGTGCCAAACCTAGATTTGAGGATAAGGCGGCAGTGGGAGTTGAGCTAGGTCCCTAGCATTTTAAGCTTTATTCAAGTGAGTAAGTACAGGCATTCCATTCATCACCTAGGATCAGCTCTGGGCAGAAGCCTGGATCTTCAAACCCAGGAAATCTTTGGAGTTGGCCTGTTACCCCTCTTGGGTGGGAAACTCTGCAGTTGTCCCCATCTGATGACAGTGTTTGTGATACTCCAAGTGTGTGTGACTCTCTGCAGAGCATGGGGTCTTCTGAGAGGTGGAGGGTGAAACCAGCCCAGCCTAGGAGAGCAGCGTCTGCTCCTGGCTGAACAAATCTCTTGCTATGATTCTGAGCAGCTTTCTTAGCCTTTCTGACTTTATCGGGGAGATGGGGATGGTGGACAGCATCAGTGGTTTTTCATTTCAAAAAGATTTTCTTTTTTCTCGGCAGCAGCACTTTTATTCCAAAGCCCAGTCTGTAAAATAGTTTAAAGATGGGGCTGCTCTGTGGAAGGCTGTGGGGGCCCCAGGCACCCCCTCCAGGAACCACAGGGGTCTTTACCACCTGAGGCTCCCCTGAGCACTGAGAGGGCCTGGGCTACCCCTTCATCCTTTCCAGCGGCCTCGTCCTGTGACCTCTGTTTGGGACCCCCTGTTGGTTCCCCTTCCCAGACAGTAACCCCTACTCCTCCCCAGTCTTTACACACCCCTACTCCAACACAATTTTTATTTGCACCCAGCTGGTAGCTACCAGTACATCCTCTTCTGAGTGTAAATGCCAAGATAACCTATATGGTTATCGTGAGGCTTGAGAAAAAGAAAACAGCATCTTTGATCCCTTCCTTAGTTTCAGCAGCCACTCAGATCAATAAAGTGAACACTTTGAAAAGGAATGTGACTGTATTAGTTAATGTTAGTTTAACTGTATATAATTCTTAAAAACTTAGAGAAATAACAGTGCCTTAAACAAGATTTCCGATTCTTTCTTTCTCACCTGAAAAGTCCTGAGCTGGGTGATCTGCAGCTGATGAGGGGGTTCCACAGTGTTCAGGACCCAGGACTCCAGCTGTCCTGCTGCTCTGCTGTCTTCATGTGTTGTCTCATGTTTCAAGATGGTTGCTTAAGCTCCAGCTGTCATTTCTGCATTCCAGTCAACAAGGAGGAAGAAGAATAGAAGGGCCCACACTCTCCTTTATAAAAACTTTCCAGTGCCTTGCAAGACTTTTCATTATGTCTCATGGCTCAGCCATCGGTCATGTGGAGATGAGGCACATTGGTGCCGCATGAAAATTGGGAGTTTATTCCTAAGAAAGCAGGGAAGAAGTGACTATTGGAGTAGGTTATCAGTCTTCTATCAGTAAAAACCCCAAGTTTCTAGGTTGCATAGACATGTCCTTATGTGGGCAGGCTATGTGCCGAATCCTCACGTTCACCTTGACACTGCTCTGACGAACTCAGAGACTCAGTACGTGCCTCACAGCACGATCAGACCTCAGTCTACAGGTCCTTCTGTGCGCCTTTCCATCTCTGTTCTCATGTCAGTTCTGTGGGCGGTCAGATGGGCGGCTGTTGTTAGTTACTGATGTGATGAATGAGGCTCAGCAGAGTTCAGGAGGTTTGTCCAAGATGGAGCTGTGGGTTAGTGGAGGGACCAGGATTCTGTCTCAGACCTTTGGCATCAAAACTGTGTATGGTCCCTAACTTGTGGAGGCGTGGTGGCCCAGAGGGTTCCCAGCAGAGAGCATGAATGGTGCTTGCCATCCTCGTCACCGGGCTCTAGAAGTCACAGAAGAGGGGGTGGCCTTTCTCAGACCCGGGGACAGGGATCCCAGGACAGAGGCCAGTGTGCAGGGGCCCTTCAGAAAGGCCTGTGGGTGGTGCTGCCACGTCTCTGAGGAAGTTTGTCAGCTCTGGACATCTGGGTCATGAGCTGTCCAGGTTGGCAAAAGACTGCCCTGGAGTTAAAGATGGAGAAGCTAGAGGAGGCTGAAGTTAAGACCCACATTTCTACAGATAACTGTAGGCAGAGTAAAATAATCCTGAATTCCTAGGCTTTTTTCTTTTTTCATCATTAAGCATGTTGGTTGAGTGACTCTGTTTTTTGCTTTCAAAGGGCTGCTCAGTTTTTGCGGAAAATGGCGGACCCACAGTCCATCCAGGAATCTCAGAATCTGTCCATGTTCCTGGCCAACCACAACAAGATCACACAAGTAAGGCTCACGCTCTCCCCACTCTGGCTGGCAGGGTGCATGGCTGGGGGGCGGGGGACCCGGGGCCAGGAGCAGACCATGGCACAGATCTCCTGCTGTGTGTGTCAGTCTCTGCAGCAACAGCTCGAAGTGATTTCTGGCTATGAAGAGCTCCTCGCTGACATCGTGAATCTGTGTGTGGATTACTATGAGAACAGGATGTACTTGACACCCAGTGAAAAACACATGCTTCTCAAAGTACGTGTGGGGTGACTGCCCATTGTACTCTGGAGGGAGGGATGGCCTTGCTGTCATTAATAGGCTGTGCTTTGTCTAAGATCCTTTTGCATGCCTTTTCTTATTCTGACGCTTGCCGTTTGTGTATGTGTTTGTATGTGTGTGTGTATGTGTAGCATCCTCTGCCCTGCACACAGCCTATAGTTGCACTACAGGCTCTTGACACATTCCTGTGAGTATGTCCTGGGCTTGACCCCGGTGCCAGGTGGATCATATGCCCACCCCCAGAAAAGGTGCTTGTGGGTGAGGAGGTCCTGGGTCCAGGGTTTCTCCCAGCATTAAGCTTCTGTAGTACAGGTTATACCTTATTCCACCTATCAAGGATGTGATTCCGAGGAATTAAATATACTGTGTCACCATGATTAAAGTAGACTTGTTGTTCAAGAAACAGCCATTTACCATATTGTTCGTTATTATTCTATTTCAAGATGAGGAGGTTTTCAGTGACATTCCTCGTGGGGCCAGGAGAAGGTGGTTCTGCCATTCCCTTTGCTCTGCCCTACACCTTTGTGGAGGGAAGCCCTGGAGACCCTGTGCTGCATGTCCGGCTGCCCAAAGCCCTCCCTGCAAGAGCGGGCCCAACCCCAAGACCTCATCACACTGGAGAGCCCACTGGATAGCACTGTGACGGCTGAAATGTTCTGTCGGTGCTGTCTGGTGCAGGGGCCCCTGGCTATGGGTGCTCATGGAAATCCGTATTTTGTACTGCATTGTGCTTGATGAGAGGTGGAGCTGATGTGTGTGCCTGGGGATGACGCTGAAATAGCTGCAAGAGATGACGCATGTAAAAGAATAGCTTCTCAAGAAGGGATAGCTATTTATTTCCAAGGAGCTTTTAAAAACGCTTTTTGAAAGGAGTGAATTGTCATTTCAAAATAAACTGTAGCAGTATAAGTGCTTAGAGGCAATTAAACTTGCAGGTCTGAGTTTTATGTGATTTTCAGGTCATGGGGTTTGGTCTGTACTTGATGGATGGGAGTGTCAGCAACATCTATAAACTAGATGCCAAGAAAAGGATAAACTTATCCAAGATTGACAAGTACTTCAAGGTAAGTTGCGTTTTTTTAGATAAATGTTTTTATTGAAATGTATACCACTTGAAATTTGGGAGATGAACCCCTATAACCATGACACATATCAGGAAATTGGGGCATGCTGACTGGCAGCGCTCACACTCCTGTCTACAGAGGCGGCTTCTCTCCCTCCTGCTGTGCACCAGTGTTGCCTGGGTTTGAACCTTGTAGAAAGGGAATCAAGCCATGTTCTCTCTCGTGCATCTGGCCACTTTCACTCACTCTGTTTGTTAGAGTCATCCCTGTGGGAGCCTGCAGCTCCAGTCCTTAGGTTTTTATTGTGGTGGAGCAATTCTTGTGATTAGACTGCAGTTTATTTATCCATTTTGTTGTGATGGACGTGAGATTGTTTCTGGGTTTTGGCTGCTCTGATTTAGTGCACGTCTGTGCTCGTTTCTGTTGGAATATACCAGGTGGGTGGTGGTGGTTGCGGGTCCTGGTAGTAAATCCAGCCTGACGATTCTCCCACATGGTTGTGCAGATTTGTGTTCCTTCCAACAATGAACGAGCATTCCCATTGTTCCACATCCTTGGCAACACTTGGCACTGTCACTTTTTGAGGGGAAGGGGCATCCTGAAGGGTATGTCCATCCTTATGATTTCCTCAGTAGCATGTCCTGCAGTTTAGTCGCTGTTTCCTTGGTGACTTTTCATGCTGTTAGCCTTTTGTGTGTTCTCTCTGGTGAAGTGTCACTTCAAGTCTCTACTTCTTTTTTCCCTGTTGATTTGTAGTCTGTGTATTCTGGGTCCATGTCCTTTGTTGGATACATGTGTTCTAAAATACATGCCTTCTCCCCTATGTGGCTCTCCTTTTCACTTTCTTAAAGGTGTCATTTGGTAAACTTCTGTTCAATATTTAATGTAGTCCAATATATCGATCTTTAATGTCCACTTTTAGGAAATCTTTGTATACAGCAGGCTCATGAGAATTTTCTTCTGTGTTACCTCCTAGAAGTGTCACCGTTTCCTTTTCCATCTAGATCTGTAATCCCCTTGAAACTTCCCTCTGTGCATGCTGTGAGGTAGCAGATTGACATTCTTGGATTTTTTCCTCCCCATTATACATATCCAATTGACCCTGTCCATTTATTGCAAAGATTATCTTTTCTCCCATTGCCCTGCCGTGTTACTTGGGTCATAAAGCAGGTGTCTGCATGTGTGTGACTGTCTTAGCTTCTCTGTCTTTCTCCACTGGTTTCCGTCTGTGCTCCAGGGCCACACTGTCTTAGTTTTCCAAAGGAATAGGTCTGCATATCAAGAAGTCTTCAAGTTATGTTAAGATTGCCTTGAGTATCATCCCTTCACCTTTCAACCTACATCTTAGCATTGGCTTGCTGATTTTCACAAGCACACAGACACACACTACTGATAGCCTGGTTTTCCTCTTGGAATATTGTTTGGAATTCCATTGAATCTATAGATCAATTTAGTGAGAACGGACATTTAAAAAATACCAAGTCTTCCAATACATGAACCTGATATATTTCTTCATTCACTTAGAATTTTAAATTTTCTCTAGAATTTTTGGTGGTATTTTTGCTTAGAAGTCTTGTACATATTTTGTTCATGTATTCATACATACTTTTTTGATGCTATTGGAAGTTGTTCCTCTTTAAATTTTCTTTCTTTCTTTTTTTTTTTTGTTGTGGAAGATTAGCCCTGAGCTAACTGCTGCCAATCCTCCTCTTTTTGCTGAGGAAGACTGGCCCTGAGCTAACATCTATGCCCATCTTCCTTACTTTATATGTGGGACGCCTACCACAGCATGGCATTCCAAGCGGTGCCGTGTCCGCACCCGGGATCTGAACTGGTGAAACCCGGGCCTCCGAAGCAGAACGTGCGCACTTAACCGCTGTGCCACCAGGCCGGCCCCTCATTTTCTAATTGTTGCTTGCATATAGAAATGCAGTTGATTTTTTTGTAACTATAGATCTAGCAAAAGGTAGGTTAATTTTAATATTTGAATTGGTTTTATGAATGTTGGTTCTTAATTTGTATTTTGTTCCGAAAGTGCATGTAGAAGTTATTTACAACTTTTTTGCAGTAAATGATTTGCAGAAATAGCGTTCAATGCATAGTAATTATTACTATTACTCGTTCTTCTTGTGTTTATGTATTTGGTGACTAAACATACATAATGACCCTGTTTTTTTTGTTCTTTGAATACAGCAGCTCCAGGTGGTTCCACTGTTTGGGGACATGCAAATAGAACTGGCAAGATACATCAAGACCAGCACGCACTATGAGGAAAATAAATCTCGGTAGGACGAGCTGCCCATTAGAGCATTCTGCTGTGGCCTCACTGTCGTTTAATAACTCTAGTCATTTATCTGAGATAACACCTTTGCCATTCTCAACTATCTGGAACTGAATGCCTAATGTGGTAGCCCTTGCCACGTGTGGCTGTTTACCTTTAAATTCATTAAAAAATGCAATTTATTTTCTTAGTGAACTAGCCATTCAAATATTTAATAGTTTGTGGCTACTGTATTGGTGAGCACAGATACAGAACTTTTCCATCATCCCAGAGAATTCTTTTGGATAGTGCTGGTTGAAATGTAGACTTGTTAACAAATTCTCTGGGCCTTGTGGTCTGCTGGTCACTTCTTAACAAGCAGCCCTGTTTGTGGGTGGGATGTTTGCGTGTATCTTACAGAGGGTACAAGACTGTAACCTGTGGACCAAATCCAGCCCAGGCCTGTTTTTGGAAAGTCTTTGTTGCTGAGAACGATCTTTACATTTTAAAAGGGTTGTTTTTAAAATAAGACAATGTGACTATGTGACAGATGTGACAGAGACAGTGTAGCCCACAAATCCTAGAGTATTTACTTTCTGGTCTTATCTAGAGAAAGGTGGCCAACCCTGCCATATAGGATCTGTAGCTCACAGTTAAGGTATTATTGTAGATTCCACATAGGCAGGTGAGTCCCATAGGATGCTTTTGCTGACTTTTGTCAAATGCATGCACCCATAGCCAGACTGGCCGAAGTTCAACCATGATTTTGAAAAACCAGTTGCATCTCAATCTGTTCACTCTGAGGCTGGCAGTCTTTTTCTTTAAAGGCCAAATAGTAAACACGTTAGGCTTCAGGGGCCACATGTGGTCTCTGTCTCATATTCTCGTTTGTTTTTTCTTTTCTTTTTTGTCTTATTAAGCAAGTTTTTAAAAATGTAAAAACCATTTTATGGCCCTAGACCCATACAATAGCTGACCGCATTTGACCTGTGCTGTAGTTTGCCAACCTCTGTGCTAGTTTATTTCCAAATATATTTGCCATTAAATCTGCTATGTGATCCACTCTTAGATGGCTTCTCACTCTCCTCTATGTTAAGTTCATTAAGCTGAAACTTCTTTCTGCTTCAGTACCACCTCAAACTCTGATTTGGAACATGAGCTGATGTCCATGGTGTGAATGTCTGGCTGTGACTGAGTTCAGGCTGACAGCGTGACATTCATTACACAATGCTTCTGCCCTAACAGATAGGGATTAGCTCTAGATCATAAGTAATGGAAAGTCAGTAAGAGAATCAGGAAACCATGAGTTTGTGCACTTATTGTCTGTTTTTAATATGATTTATTCTAAGTTTATAGCATTTAATTGGTAATAATGCCCATGTTTCACAGCTTCCTTGGGAGGTGCCTGAGCATATAGCAATCAGCTTTGGGAGCCTGGCCCAAGGGCCCCACACCAGCATCTGGCCCCAGAAAGGGCAGATGCAGAGTGCGCCAATGCCAGCAATCAGGCTCTGGGCTCCAGTGCCTTGCCTGAGGTGGATATGCTGTTGGGGGTCTGCAGGGGAGGCAAGTGTATTGAGAATGGATCCCAGTGCAGAGCCTGTGCCTTGCACGCTCATTGCAGACTTGAGGAGCTGCCTGGGATAATGCCAACATAATCATCCCATCATCCTGTAGTGGAATCAAAGAGAAAGAGGTACTACTTGAGACAGTGCACTGACCGTCTCAAAAAGTGGTAACTTGTATTCCATCCCTTCACGAAAAGGAGACCAGCTTGTTAAAAACACAGAGTACTGGTGCTACATGTGAGGGGGCAGCCGTCTAAGTCCTAAGATCCATGCTTTCTGCCCAAGAGCACCAGCAGTTTCAGTTCTTAATAAACTTCTTTCCCACTAAATTGTGTCTGTTTGCTGCTGAAATGGTGTGCACATATGTTGTGCACATAGGTAGTTATGGTGACAGTGTCTAACTTCCAGATGATGTCAGTTTTCAACTCTCCCCGTAAGGATAACTTTTGCTCCTGAGTCTTTGGCTGATTTGTTTCTATACTATAGCTTATATTTTCCCATGTGAGTAATAAAGAAATAGTTCCTGCCAACTCTGCAATAATACGTCAAGAGGTCCTCGCAAGGGTGATGCATTGTCCTAAATCCAGCAGCATCTCTCAGCGTTTTAGAAAATGGTTTATTGATCATAGAGAAATTACAATTCCTTTTCCAAAACACAGATATGAGAAGGTAGGGCAGTGACCCTGACACAGGGAGAGGGGGCTGGGCCAGCTCTGTTTCCTTGCTGAGAATTCCATATTGTTTCCTAGCCTCCAGCTCCTCTCCCACGCTATGCATGTGTCCTTGGGCACCCAGCGTTGTGCTGCATAAGCCTTGTGCAAGTGCCCTCAGGTGACACACGTTTCCCCTTCACTGCAGATGGACGTGCACATCTTCCAGTAGCAGCCCGCAGTACAACATCTGTGAGCAGATGATCCAGATCCGGGAGGACCACATGCGCTTCATCTCAGAGCTGGCACGCTATAGCAACAGTGAGGTGAGTGGGCCTTCTGCGCCCGCCCGCACTGACACCTGAGGACAGATGGCCCTAGAATGTCATCTGTGTTCTCTGCAACCGAAAACTGACGTTAATTGCTTTGAGAAGCATGGTTGAGTACGAATACTTAAAAAGCACTCGTTATAATGGATGGCAGTGCAGTGAGCATCGTTTTTATCTGTTCACCTGTAGATCTTTTTTCAGAAAAATGTAATAGAGGTCCCAAAAGAAAGGACTGAGGAAAGACCCTGAATTAAGTCTGTTTCCTAGTCTAGTCTTGTTTCCAAGCTGCTAGAAGAGAGAGGGTAGGGCCTCAGGAAAGGAGTGATTATGGCTTGTGGCCGTTTCGTGCCTAGAGGCAGGAAGTCCTGAAGGCAGAGGCGTGTAGGAGCTGCTGGGTCGGTGGGAGGACGTCCTGGTGCCCAGGGGAGGGCCTGGAGTTGGGTGTAGGAGGAAGCGCTATCTCCTCGGCTTCAGGCCTTGTTAATTCCTTTCGGCTTTGCAGCTGGGTTTCCTGTGTCCTTGTTTGGGCTGATCACGTTATCCCCACCTGTCAAGTGTGACTCCAAGCTAGCCCTGCCAGTATGTGGGGTGTGCTGGAGGGGTGTGTGAGTGTGGAGGAGCATTGGGAATGGCACTTCTCATATCTTAGCAGACAAGGCAGCAAGGTCAAAGCAGTGGTCAGTGGTATGGGTTCTGCAAATAGTCAAGAAGAACCCGGGGACTTGGGGCCACAGACACAGGTCTGGTTTGTGAGACTGTGGTACCTCAGGGTTCTCAGGAGGACCATTAACATTTGTGGGGAACAGCTCTGTGCGTTGGCCCCACCCATTGCAGGATGATGAGCACCCCTGCCCCCACCCACCAAATGCTAGTCGTCATACAACTAGAATGACTGAAAGACAGCCCAGATGTCTTAGGGCATGTGCTGCCTCCAGCAGACCCCTGGTAGGTGGCCGACTCCCTAGTGAGGAGGCCTTACTTCACCCCTTCTCCAGCGGCCAGCACAGCCCTTAGGGTAGAGATGGGGAGCAGCCCCTTGAGACTTCATGATGTAGTTGTAAACCGAGTTCATGGGAAGCTCTCAAAATGTAGAGCTGATTTTTACTCCAAATAAGAGCATCTAACAGCATGCATGGTTCCTGTCATCTTCCTTTTGCTGTTGAGTGTAGTACCTTCAGGATAAGATGATGATTTTAACAAGAAGAAAGAGATCCACCTTTGAATGCTTTACTCAGTTTGTTTATTTATTTATTTGCTGAGGAAGATTTGCCCTGAGCTAACATCCGTGCCAATCTTCCTCTAATTTTTAGTATGTGGGCTGTCAGCACAGCATGGCGACTAACAGAAAAATGTAGGTCCAAGCTCGGGAACCAAACCTGGGCTGCTGAAGTGGAGAGCACTAAATTTAAGCACTAGGCCACCAGCAACTTTGGTTGTTTCGTGTGTTGGCTATTGTGAATAATGATGCAATGAACCCAGGGTTGTAGAGTCAGTTGATTTTTGATGAGGGTATACTCAGTGGGGAGCAAATAATGCTGGGGAAACTGGGAATCCACATACAAAAGAATGAAGTTGGACCCTTTCCTCATACCATACAAAAAATGCAACTCAGAATTGATCATAAAACTAATTGTAAGAGCTAAAACTACCAAACTTTTTAGATTCCATGTATTAGTGAGACTGTACAGTATTCGTCTTTCTCTGTCTGACTTATTTCACTTAGCCCAATACCCTCAGGGTTCATCCATGTTGTTACAAATGGGAGGATTGCCTTCTTTTTTTCGTTTGAGGAAGATTAGTCCTGAGCTAACATCTGCCACCAGTCTTCCTCTTTTTGCTGAGGAAGATTGGCTCTGAGCTATATCCATGCCCATCTTCCTCTACTTTATATGTGGGACGCCTGCCACAGCATGGCTTGCCAAGTGGTGCGTAGGTCCGCATCCGGGATCCGAACCTGTAAACCCCACGCCGCTGAAACAGAACGTGCAAACTAAACCGCTGTGCCACTGGGCTGGCCCAGGATTTCCTTCTTTTTTATGGTTGAATAATATTCCACTGTGTATACAAGTATATGTATATACATACACACACACTATTTTTCCAAATTTGTTTGCCTCAGGATCCAAATTAAGTTCCAGACACTGCAGTTTGTTGATGTGTCTCCTCGGAGATGTGTCCCCCTCCGTCTCTCTCCCTCTCTGGGGTATCATTTGCCATGACTTCTGCGCCGTGTTTCCTGTACATTGGTAGTTAGATCTGGAGACCTGATCAGACTCAGCTTCCCTTCTCTCAGCCCACTCGGCCCTTCATCGGCCATGCCGAAAACCGCTGGAATGTCTGGCTGACTCTGTGATGCGGGCAGCGTTGTCTGCTGCCTAGCTGCGTGCACCTGTAAGGGTGATACTCTAGTTCTACCCTCCTCCTCAGCCCTCATACCAGCTGTGCCTTACTCTGTGGGATCCCTCCTCCAGAAGAGACAAGGTCACAGCTGGATTCCTTTGCTTTACGTATCAATTGTTAAAATAATTGATTCCCTAGCATCATCTAAGGTAACAAATCAAGGGTTTTTTTAGTACTGTGTTGAAGTCAATCTACTTCAGTTTTTTTCTTTTTCTTTTTTTCCCATACTGGTTCTTAATGACTCCTGCAAATTTTGACTTGATGTCTCAAGATACACGCAGCAATTTTAAAATAGCAATACTGGCACTGCTAATAATCATATAATTACTAGAAACAACATAGTTGTATATCGTAATGTATAACTTTATGTTATATTATAATAACAATGCAATTACCAAAAATTGTTTAAGATTTATTTTGCAGTGGATTTTGTCCTTAGATTTCTCCCTCTGGGTTGTTCATTCACTGTCTCTCAAAGTCGCTTGAAGTGTTTTGTTTTGTGTTGGTCTCAGCCTATTGGTAGTGATGCTGAGACACTCTCTTGGAACTGTGCTACTTGTGGCAGCCTGAGGGTAGAAAGAGAGCATGCATGTGGGCCTGGGGTTCTGCTTTTATTGGAGTTGAGGGTAGGGGCGTAGTGTTTCATGGGCTCACTCTTTATTGGTGAATTTAAAACGTAAGAGTGGGAATGTAAAGCGTGGGAAGAGAAAAAACAAGTGGCCCAAATGGTCACTTATGGAAATCAACTAAGATCTCTAAAGCAAAGGAGCCTTAGGGAGGCAGGTGGCCTCGCTCTTTATCTGGTCATGTGGCTGGCAGTGTGTCTGTTGAGACAGCTATCTTTGAAGTGGATGCCACACAATCAAAGCTTATGTGAGGCACTTGCATTACAAAAAAGAAAGACTAACTGTCAGCGCTTCCAGTCCCCTGGGTCACCCAGGGCTCTCTAAAAGGGGAACTTCATGGGTGGAGCAGCCTGGCTCTTTATCTAGTTGTGTAGCTGGCAGTGTGTTTATTTGAGATGGATGTCTTTGAAATGGATCCCTTGGCAATCAAAAGGTTAATGTCAGGCACTTACATTATAATCAAAAAAAGCCAATTATCAGACACTTATGCTATATGGCCCCACTGTGCGGCCATGATGCCAACTTATTACACAGTTCAGTTCATTGTTTCATTTTGCTTTTGAGTTTCAGGGAGCCCTTCCCCCCCCAATTTAATGTTATGTCATAGTATATACCGTTTATGTGGTTCCCAAGTCAGATGTCTCAAAGGAGGCATGCTCAGAGAAGCTGGCTTCCCCTCTACCCTGTGCCTCCCTACCCTGTAGGTCACTATACTTAAATCTGTTTTATTTGATATAAGCAAATACACAGGATGTGCACGTTTTCCTTTATTTGGCAAGTGGAAACATACTGTGCACAGGCCTCTCTGAACACCATGCCCTGGAGGTTCATCCAGCACAGTCTACAGCATCTTTTCTCTTTGCTTTGAGAGCTACAGAGCATTCATCATTGGGGGCTCTGTGGATGCCAGCCTGTTGCTACAGGGAAGGCTTGTGTGCCCACATCATTTCATATTTTAGAATGTACCTTTAGAGTAGGTTCCTAGAGTGGGTTTGGTGGGTCACGGGGTAAATGCATAGGTGGTTTTTCTGCATATGGGGTGTCTTCCTGATACTTCTGTTGTGCTCTAGGTTGTCACAGGGTCTGGCCGCCAGGAGGCTCAGAAGACAGATGCTGAGTACCGGAAGCTCTTCGACTTGGCACTGCAGGGCCTGCAGTTGCTGTCTCAGTGGAGCGCCCATGTGATGGAAGTGGTAGGCATTCTGTGCTTGCTTTTATTTGGAAATGCAGGGAATTAAAAGAACATCAACCTCCAGCTGGTTAGAAGTGCTTTTGTTCCCAAGCTCCAAGAAATTGACTAAATGATATTTGTTCTGCATTAACTTTGGTCTTTGGATCAAGAAAACATTGGCTTTTTAGCTTTGGCCTTAGAAATAAGAATATATATCAATTTAAATGTTTCTAAGATGACTCAACATACATTGCATGTATGTATGTTACAAATAAAGGGCCTCATCTTTTAAAACGTTTTATAGAATTAAATTTAAGTACTGTTATGATGATTTTTAATTCTCTTTTATTTAAACAATATTTTCTCTGTGGGGTTCTAGCCATCACTTTTTTTGTTTAGTATTAGTAAAATGGTTTCTGATGCCATGTAAAGATTTGCATACCTATAAGTCATAGAAAGTTTTCTCTTTTGTTGTTTATTTTGATCAGACCAAAATTATATTGGATGAGTACATGATCATTTGAATAGCTAATTCTTTTTTTAAACGGTGATGAAATGCCTAGAGTGTTAGAGAGTTAAAATATCCAGGCCGTTTTGTCTGATGTATTTCTTAAACCTCTGGTCTGTTTCTTAAACCCGAAGTCGCATGGCCACAATGTTTTGCACTCTTAGGGAGATGGACTCTGTGTGTGTCTGCGTGGTGTGTGCACGCATGTGTAGCATGTGTGTGTGAGTGAGTGTGACTTTCAGACTCTGCAAATACTACAAGGCTGACCTGTCGGTAGCTTTGGTGAAGGTCATGTGAGTGAGACAAGCAGTTAAGCATTGTTCATTCAGTGTGAATGTCTTCCTCCTTTCTGACCACACCAGTATTCATGGAAACTTGTGCACCCGACGGATAAGTACTCCAACAAGGACTGCCCTGACAACGCTGAGGAGTACGAGCGCGCCACCCGCTACAACTACACCAGTGAGGAGAAGTTCGCCCTCGTGGAGGTATGGTTTGTCTGCTTTCTCTTCCTCCTATGACTCTGGCCTCAAACTTCTTCCCTTTCAAAAGCAAAGGCAAAAATGTGAATAAAAATGCCCATTTTATGTCATTACTTTTATGTAGGGTAGCCCTTTGCATCTATCACAGTTCTCAGTACAGGATAAAGTAGGTTCTTGGTGTCTGCACTGACAGCTCCCCTGGGCAGATCAGGGGTTTGCTCGTGAGCATCTGGGAGGGGGAGCAGCTTTTGGTGTGGAATGCAAGAGGACACGACATGACCCTGGCAGTCTGAGAGAGAAGCGCCCCTCATCTCCTCCAGTGTTTCCAGCTGTTGAATCACCAGCTCTTTGCTCTCACACATGTCAGCTGTGGCTCCCTCAGTTATGCACTGTCTTCACGAGCCTTTTGATGAACAGAAGCTCTTACATTTCACTGCCACCCAGTTTCTTTTCTTTTGTAGTTGAACTTTGCCTGCCTTGTTTAAGAAATCTTTGCATGCTGTAAGGTCCTCAAGGTATTCTCCTCCATTGCCTTCTGGATGTTTTATTCTGCTTTCACATTTAGGTCTGAAATTCACCTGAAGTTAGTTTTTGAAACACTTCGCCTGCCCCCTGCTCTACTTGCCACCTTTATTGTGAACAAGTGACCATACATGTGTGGGTGTGTTTCTACTCACTCTTCTAATCCATCGGCCAGTGTGTCTGTCCCGTGCTAACACCCCTCTGTCTTAATTACTATTGCTGGTTCTAGGTATAGTAAAGCAAGTCTTTCTGTCCTTAGGAGTTCCTCAGCTATTCTTGCCTTTTGTATTTTCATGTAAATTTTAGACTCATCTTTTCGTATCCCAGTGAAACTTTTTGGAATTTATGTGGATCACTTTAGGGGAGAATTGACAAATTCATAATATTGAGACTTTTATAAATATGATATATCCCTCCATTTGTTTAGATTCTCTTTAATTTCTCTTTTATAATCTGTGTAAAACTCCTGCACATACTTTGTTAGCTTTATTTCTAGGTGTTTGATAGTAGGTGGTATATTTTTAAGTTTTTATAAATATTTGTCACTGGTATTACAAATATAAATTATTTTTTGTAGTTTTCCTTATGTCTATCAATTTATCTAAACTGACTTATTAATCATAATAAAGTACCCATAGATTCTTTGGGATTTTTTACTTACATAATCATATCATCTGGAAATGATGACAATTTTATTTCTCGCATCTTTCTTTTTTTTTAAATCACACTGGGTAAGACCTCTACTCGTTAAATAGGAGGCACCAGGCATCCTTGTCTCATTTCTCATCTCAAAGGGAAAGCTTTCAACGTTTCACTATATACTGTATTTGCTGTAGGGTTCCAGAAGCCACTCGTCATCAGGTCTGCAAAGAGTGAGAATTTCACTTCTTCATTGCCAATTTGGATCCCCTTTATTTCTTTTTCTTGCCTAATTACCCTGGCCAAAACTTCCAATACTGTGTTGAATAAGAGCTACAAGAGTGGGCATCCTTGTCTTGTTCCTGTTCTCAGAGGGATGGCTTTCAGTTTTTCCCCATTGAGTATGATGTTGGCTGTGGGTTTGTCATATATGACCTTTATTATGTTGAGGTACTTTACTTCTATACCCATTTTATTGAGAGTTTTTATCATATATGGATGTTGCATCTTGTCAAATGCTTTCTCTGCATCTATTGAGATGATCATGTGGTTTTTATTCTTCATTTTTTTAATGTGGTGTATCACATTGATTGATTTGCAGATGTTGAACCATCCTTGCTCAGGGCTTTGTAAACCCCTTTCTTTTTTTTTTTTTGGTCTTAGGGCCTTCTTGATCATTTCTTGCAGTGGGGGTCTTGTGGTGATAAACTCTCTTAGCTTTTGTTTATCTGGGAAAGTTTTTATTTCTCCATGAAATCTGAAGGTTATTTTCTTTGGATAGAGTATTCTTGGCTGAAAGTTTTTGTCTTTCAGAATTTTGAATATATTTTTCTACTCTCTCCTAGCCTGTAAGTTTTCTGCTGAGAAATCTGCTGAAAGCCTGATAGAGGTTCCTTTGTGAGTTGTTTTCTTCTGCCTTGCTGCCCTTAATATTTTTTCTTTGTCATTGACTTTTGCCAGCTTTACTACTGTATGCCTTGGAGAAGATCTTTTTTTTTTTTTTCAGGAAAATTAGACCTGAGCTAACATATGGTGCCAATCCTCCTCTTTTTGCTGGGGAAGCCTGGCCCTGAGCTAACATCCGTGCCCATCTTCCTCTACTTTATATGTGGGATGCCTGCCACAGCTTGGCTTGTCAAGTGGTGCCGTGTCCGCACCTGGGATCTGAACCGGCGAACCCTGGGCCCCCAAAGCGGAACGTGCACCCTTAACCACTGCACCACCGTGCCGGCCCAGGAGAAGGCCTTTTTACATTGATATAATTAGGAGTTCTATTAGCTTCTTTCACTTGTATTTTCAGCTCCTTCCCCAGGTTTGGGAAGTTCTTAGCTATTATTTGTTTCAACATGCTTTCTGCTCCATTCTCCTTCTCTTCTCCCTCTGGAATACCTGTAATCTTTATGTTGTATTGCCTAATTGAGTTGGATATTTCTTGGAAAATTTCTTCATTTCTTTTAGTCTTACTTCTCGCTCCTCCTCCATCTGAAGCTTTTCTGAATTTCTGTCCTCCAGACTGCTAATTCTCTCCTCCATAATATCAGCTTTGTTATTCAGGGAGTCCAGATTTTTCTTTATCTCATTCATTGTGTTTTCCCCCTCCACCATTTCTGTTTGGTTTTTCTTTATAGTTTCAATCTGTTTTGTGAGGAATTCCCTCTGTTCTTTAATTTTATTGCTGATTGCATTGAACTATCTGTATTTTCTTGTAATTCATTGAGTTGTTTTTATGATAGCTACTTTGAATTCTCTGTCATGTAAATTATAAATTTCTTTGCCTTCAGGATTGATTTCTGGCTGCTTGTCATCTTCCTTCTTGTCTGGAGTACTAATATATTTCTTCATACTGTTTGATGGCATGGATTTGTGTCTCCACATAGTGATAGTATCAGGTCTCAGCTTTCCACCTGCTGCCACTGGGTGGGGGTCAAGAGCTGTGTATTCTGAGCCCCCCCCAATGCCCACCTTGCTCGCTCATAGCTGCTCTTTTTCTAATGTATGCCTGAGTGCCCTGTCCCACTGGCTGAGCCAGAGCTCCAGGCAGAGGGAGGGGCGCTTTCTTTTCCGGCACGATCCCAGGGGTGTTCTTGCTCTACCCTTGCTGTCTGCTCCCCTGGGTTGCTGGCTTTTATGAGGACACCCCAGAGTAGCTTGGCCATCTCTGTGGGGGGCTTTCCCAAGGGCTGTGAGGGACCTTGGAGATTGAAGGTGTTCTCGTAAAGATCTCCCCCTTCCCCCTCACCTCTCAGAGCCGCGCACACTCCCATGCGCTGGGTCGCTGCCCTTGGGGGAGAGAGAGGAGATCCCCTTATCTCCTTCTACTTCCTCTGGGTGCTCCAGCACCTCCACCTTCAGGCATCTGGCTGCATGGGTTTCTCAGATGTCTTTTATGTTGTGTGAATGTCCTCTGTTGGTTTTTTAGTGTCCTTTTCATTGTGTCTTAGTGGGTAGAGTAAGCGAAGAGCTCACTTTGCGGTGATGCTGACATCAGTCTCCGCATTACTTTGTCATAAGCTTCCATTCTAGTTTTTGGATGAAGCTTCAAAAAACGACTCATGGCGTACTCCTTCTTTTCTGTTGTCTGCAGTGGTTTGTGTAAGATGTCATTTCTTCCTCAAATGTTTGCTAACGTTTATTGGCAAAGCTTTCCCTTCATGGAATGGTTTTTGAAACGTTCACTTTCTTTACTATATATAGCAGCATTCAGATTTTCTGTTTCTTCTTGTATCAGTTTTGGCAGGTTGTATTTTCATGGATTTTCTAAGAGTCTTTCTCAATTTTCTAATGTTTTGGCATTAAGTTTTTCATAATAAATTTTCGTCTTATTTTTGGCACAGTTTTTTTTCCCCACGTACTATGCAGTTCACCCATTTAAAATGTAAAATGCAGTGCTTTTTTGGTATGTTCACAGAGTTGTGGAATCACAATCAAATTTGGAACATTTTTGTTACCTCAAAAAGAAACCCCATGCTCACTAGCATTCACTCCCGTTCTCCCTTCCCTTCTACCCTAGGCAGCCACCAGTCTACTTTCTGACTCTGTAGCTTTGCCTGTTCTGAACATGTCGTGTAAATGGAATTCTGTAACATGTGGCATTTTGTCATTGACTTCTTTCACTTAACAGTGTTTTCAGGATTCACACATGTATCAGTATTTCATTGTTTTCATTGCCAAATAATGTTCTGTTGTACGGATATATCATGTTTTATTTATCCGTGTATTAGCTGACGGACGTTTGGGTTGTTTCCACTTTTTCCCTATTATGCCTAATGCTGCTGCAACTTTTGTCTGCAGGTTTTTGTATGGATGCATGTTTTCATTCCTTTTGATGATACACTTGCAAGTAGAATTGCTTGGTCATATGGTAACTCTGTGTTTAACATTTTCAGAAAGTACCAGATGGTTTTGCAAAGTGGCAGCATTATTCTACATTCCTACCAGCAGTGAATGAGGGTTCCACTTTCTCCAAATCCTGGCCAACACTTGTTATTGTCTGTCTTTTTTATTCTCACCACCTTGCTAGATGTGGAATGGTATCTAATTTTGGTATTTGATTTGCATTTCCCTAACGACTAATGATATTGGGCATATTTTCATGTGCTTATTGACAGTTTGTGCATCTCAGAGAAATGTTGATTCAGATCCTTTGCCCCCCCGCTTTTTTTTTGGTGAGGAAGATTGGCCCTGAGCTAACGTCTGTTGCCAATCTTCCTCTTTTTGCCTGAGGAAGGTTGGCCCTGAGCTAACATCTATGCCAGTCTTCCCCTGTTTTGTATATGGGATGCCCCCACAGCACAGCTTGATGAATGGTGTGTGTGTCCTTGCCCGGTATCCAAACCTGCGAAACCCATGCCGCCAAAGTGGAGTGTGCAAACTTAACCACTACACCGCAGGGCTGGCCCTCCTTTGCCCATTTTTCGATTGGGTTGTTTTTGTATTATTGGGTTCTTTATATATTCTACATACCAGTTCTTGTCAGACATGTGATTTGCAGTATTTTCCCTCATTCTGTGGTTTGTCCTTTTATTTTCTTAATGGGGTCGTTTGAAGCACAAAAGTCTTTAATTTTGAGAAAGTTCAATTTTTCTGTTTTCCTTTTGTTGTTTGTACTTTTGGTGTCATATCTTAAGAAACTATTGCCTTCCCCAGGTTACAAAGATTTACTCCTATGTTTTCTTCTAAGAGTTTATGGTTTTACCTCTTACGTATAAATGTATGATCCCTTTGGATTGATTCTGTTAATGGTGTGAGGTCAAGGTTGTGTCAGGGGTCCCCAGGACCACCTCAGGCTAGATTTATCAGAAGGACTCACAGGACTAAGTAGCAGTTCTGTTCAAGATTATGATTTATTGCAGCAAAAGGACACAGATTAAAATCAGCAAAAGGAAAAGGTGCATGGGTGACATCCAGGAGAAACCAGGTGTCCCCTACTGGTGGAAGTGCCCAGGATGTGCTTAATTCTCCCAGCAATGATGAGTGACAACAGATGCAGTTTTTCCAACCAGGGAAGCTCATCCAAGCCTTGGTGGCCAGGGTTTTTATTGGCGTCAGGCATGCAGCAACCACAGGACTGACCTTAGCTTCTCAGACTCCAGAACCCCAGAGCAAAAACAGGGTTCACCATAAACCACATTGTTAGCATCAACTGTCTGTCAAACTGCTGCTCCACTGGCCCAAAGCCACAGACACGCATACACTCTTTTCAGGCAGAATCTTCTTGTCGCTCAGAGCTCGTCCTAGGAGCTAGCCAAGGGCCAGACCTGAAGACAGGCCTTTCTCAGGAATGTGCAGGGTTTAATCATCCCAGGCCTGCTGGGTTAACCCTTTTCTGCACAGTACGCCGTCTTCATGCTTTGGCGTGTGGATATCCAGCTGTCCCAATACTATTTGTTGAAAAGATCATATTTCCCCATTGGATTGTTTTCACACCCTTGGTGAAAATCAGTTGACTGTAAATGTGAGGGTTTGTTTCTGGATTCCTACTTCTCTTCCCTATGCCAGCATACTCTCATAATCTCCCAATATATGTCAACTTTGTAGTAATGCCCCCTTTCTATTCTTAATGCTGGTAATTCATGACTTGTCTGTTTTTCTCTTGATCAGTCTTGCTTGGTATTTGTCAACTTATTTATTTTTAAAACAGCTTTTTCTCAGTTCATCACCTCTATTATATGCTTGTTTTCTGTTTCATTAATTTTTGCTTTTAGATATTCATTTCCCTCTACTTTCGGGGGATTTATTTTGTTTTTCTTTTTATAAATTCATGGTGAATATTAGATTAGTATTATCTTCAGGCTTTTTTGTCTTCTAATATGTGCATCTAAAGCTCAAAATTTACCTTTGAGCTCATCTTTTTGTACATCCCGTAAGCTTGAATATGTAGTATTTTCATTTTCATTCAGATTGGCGTGATTTTGAATTTAGTTCAATTAGAATTTGAATTAGAGAATTTACTTTTTTAAATAGAAGTTTTCCCTTTTTTCCTTCATTAGAAAAGCAACCCAGATTCATTAAACAAATCCCTAAAGTAAACAAACAGAAAACATGGATGTGCAATGAGGACAGTACAGTGTCCATGACGCCATCACAGAGATGAACTTTACGCAGTTTATGCATTTTCTTTCAGGCCTTTTTATGCATATTAATTCAGTGTGCCATTATTGTTTAATAGATGGGATTTCGACTGCAAACTCTTATAACTTCTTTTTTCTTTTCCAGATAGTAACATATTTGCTTTCCTAAAACTTTTTTCTTCTCCTTTGAAGTCCTTCATGGAGGTGTGCCCTTAGGGATGTGGGAGGATTGTGAGTCAGTTACAAACACTCCTCTTAGCTCATGCCTGCAGATCCATCCCTGCCTTCAAGGTGCTCATGGTCTGATGGAATCAGACGCAGGTGTGGGGATGGCTGATGACACAGAGCTGTTCTTGGGAAGATGGTTACAGGACAGCAGCTGCAGAGCAGGAATGCAAGAAGCCAAGAGAAGCGCCATGCAGAGGGAGAGGCAACCTCCAGGGAGTGTGCCAGCTGATGGAGCTCAGCACTGCCTGAGAAGGAGCCGTTTCCTATCACCCTCCAGCACACTGAAAGTCTTGTGTGCCCCCTGCAGGTTATCGCCATGATCAAAGGCTTGCAGGTGCTGATGGGCAGGATGGAGAGCGTGTTCAACCATGCCATCCGGCACACTGTCTACGCCGCGCTGCAGGACTTCTCCCAGGTCACCCTCAGGGAGCCCCTCAGGCAGGCCATCAAAAAGAAGAAGAATGTCATCCAGAGGTCAGCCTCACTGCATGCACCTCCCTGCATTCAATGTCTAAAACTGTAGGATCAGCTTAGGTTTCAACAGCTATAGAGTTGCATTTTCATAAATATGCTCAGTACATTTCTCTTCCACTTCCCGATGCCCTTGTGGTGAATTTCCTCTAAATGTATTGCAGGGGCTCCAGTTATTAACCTGAACAACCTACAGTAGATGAAGTACAGAGTGTCTGAGCTATCTGGAGATCCAGGGACAAGGGCGTGTTTATCTCAGGCCAGGAGTGTCTCAAAATCTGTCCAAAGAGTCTGATCACCAAGCCTGTAGGGACACGCAGCCGGCCTCCCACCTCCCATCTCAGTGTGTTGTCTTCAGTGTTTTTACTTCTGTTCCTTTTGGCCTATAAGTTGGTCGAAAACTACACAGATATGGCAGACATCCTGTAGCAACCTTGAGCTAGTTTTCCCTCAATATTTAGCCTTTCAGATAAAGTTGTCTCTCAGAGACATCTCTGTAAAATGGAGCTTACAAAGGCCCACAGTGCACTGGTTTCATTTTGTGATTGTATAGTTAATATATTTGTTACCAGTGTGGTGTGATTTTTAGCATTAATAAAGTTTTACACTGTGAGACTTAGCAGTTTGTGTTCGCTCCAGCTGGGTGGAGGGCTGGGTGGAGGTTTTCATGTTTTCCATTATGCCCCCTGTTTTGCTCATGCTCGCCATAATGGGAGGCTCACTATGTGGGCAGTGTGCAGTGTGCTCCAAAGGTAGCTTAGGTTTTAGCTAGAACTTTCCCCACGAGGTGATCAGGATGGGTGTGTGGGTTCATCTGCTCCTAGTGTGCTGTCCAGGGCCTCTCTGCATGGTGGAGTGTGTGGGGGATGGGACACATTCCACGTGAGTCGAGGACACAGGCCCAGTCCCTGCAGTTATGTTGGTGACTTCATGTTCCTGTTAGAAAAGGGGGATCAGCCACAGGGAAGTCGAGTTTCAGCTCTCTGGGTGGATGTGTGTGGTCTGTCTTGCTGCCCTTAGCATGACTCAGTGTTCAGGAAAGAAAACATCACTTCTGGTAATTGATGTAAACTGCAACTACATCAGATCTTTTGGAGCTAGTAATGTCCCCAAGAAAATTATCTATTTTTAAAAATTTGCCTTGAACTGGTCCATTACCGTGTCCCCCGACTACCCCCAGGGGACTTCATGTGTGAGAGTTGGCTATCCCAAGAGCTGTTTGCTAGGCAAGGAGATGCTGTGATTGTCAATGTCCCGAGGGTGCCAGTGCTCCGCGCCTTGCTAATGACTTGATGGGGCTGTTTAGTGTCCTGCAGGCTATCAGGAAGACTGTGTGTGACTGGGAGACAGGGTCACGAGCCCTTCAACGACCCAGCCCTGCGGGGCGAGAAGGACCCCAAGAGCGGCTTCGACATCAAAGTGCCCCGGCGAGCTGTGGGACCCTCCAGCACACAGGTTCTTGTCCCCCCTGCTGCCCTGCTCCACCTGTTCCCCTGGGTGCGTTGCCCCTGAGCTGGGGGACAGTAAGCAAGGCCAGGAGCGAAATGACACCACAGCTGTCTGCTGAGCAGATCAAGTGTTGACTGTGTCTTTTCTGCTCCTCTGCCCCTGCTGAAGCGAATCCGGAGCATTAGCATCCTCGTGACTCTCAGATTTGCCCATCTGCGTGCTGAACTTAATGTGACTACATTAACTCCTGTCCCAAAAATGTGGTTGAAAGTCTGTGTGTCTGTATTTATGCTGTGTTTCCTGATGGGCGTTTAAATGTAGGGTTATAATTTTTATGCTGGGCCTAAAACTGATCATTCCTAAAGACAAAACTTTTGGAAATATAACAACATAACTTTCATGTGTCCCTGGCCTTAAGCCACCACCGCTCTTCTCTCTCCTGGCACATTCAGCCACCCAAGCAGCTTTCCTTGACTCTCCAACCTGATTTAATATTCCCTGTGCTTCCCTCCTCCCCTTTTGGGACTTGGCACTTCTTATTCATCACCTCTCTGTTGAGGGCTTTTATAGTCTCTTTTGCCAGTGTATGAGAGAATTACCAGCAAAGCACGTTGCTGGCTCTATAGGAAACCTCTCAGGTATGTGGGAGGAAGGCATTTGGCCCACTCGAGAAGCATGGGTTCTGGGTCTCTCCAGCGCGCATGCACCCTCCCTGCCCTTCGTCCCCACATGCCTCTTCCCACCCCATGATGTGTGTGTTGTGAACTAACCGTTCTCTCCACCTCTCCCCTGTCTGTCCATGTCTAGCTCTACTTGGTGCGCACCATGGCTGAGTCCTTGAGCTCTGCCGAGCTGCTGAGGCAGCTCAAGTCTCTGGGCATGGAAAGGCTCTTGCATGTAGTAAACGCGTTTCTGAGGCAGTCCTACACCTATCCGCCTCTTTTAACCTTTGGTGGTAAGACTTCCTTTGTTTTCTTGTTGATGTTTACAGCACAGAGGTGAACTTCTCTGCTACCAGTTCTTTCTCCCAAGCATCAGCAACTTGGCCACTTGGATGGGCACCCAGACCCCCTTTGAGGAGCCGGCTAGCAGCGGGCTGCCCACTCCAGCCCGCTCTGGTCAGAGCATGGCAGAGCAGTCCTTCTCTCGTGGTTTACCTGAGTTTGGCGTAACTAATGTGTATTTTCTCCCCTACAAATGTTTCCTTGGATGATGCAGCTTTATATGGTGAGAACCATGCTAGAGTCCCTCATTGCAGACAAAAGTGGTTCCAAGAAAACCCTGAGAAGTAGCCTTGAGGGGCCCACCATATTGGACATAGAAAAATTTCATCGAGAGTCATTCTTCTACACTCACTTGATAAATTTCAGTGGTAAGAGATACTGCTGACCAGCGTCCAGCCTAGCATGTTCTAACACTGCTAACACTGTCTAGAATGCTTCCACCTGCCTGACCGTCCCCTGCTGTGGTCCCCTCACGCACCCAGATGGCAACACGTCCTAATCTTCATGCCATTCCCTCGCCTATCGCTTTAAATGCACAGCTGGCCAGAAACTTCCCTCCATGTGATATGGCCCTTAGGAGGGTGAGGGCTGTGGGGCCATGGGGCCGTGGCTGGCCCTGTGACCTGAATACCAAGTTTTTGTAACCCGCACGGAGTCAGAAGCACACGCGAATGTAATCTGTCACCTGGCTCGAGACCAAGACAGTGATAAATGTCAGAAACAGCCCCCAGGGGCAGTGATGTATGGAAGGTGGTAGGTGACCTGACACAGGCAGCCCGCCCTGGGGTGACGCCCTTGACCACAGTGCCAGGTGGATGCCCTTTGTCATCATGGAGTTGTCCATATTTACTCTTGTGCCACAGCCACTTGCTCAGAGTGAGAGGCCTCTGTCTTAGCTAGGGGTGCTGCAGATTTGGAGTAAATTATAGTAAGGCTTTTGTTTTTCACTCCGTGAAAGGATGGAGACATTTTTCTTGAAAAATCTCTCTCTATTTTTCATTAGATAGACCTGCACTGAATATGCATGTAATGCTATGTCTTTATCTTAAGTAAAATAGAGTAATCCTGTTTTTATTTCTCCTTTTAAAAAGGACTTTTTTTTTCTCCCAATCCCACCAAGAGGCTCAGAGGGTTGACAAGTTCCCATTAGTGGGTAGTGGTGTCCAGTGGGGGCGGGACACTTGACTCTGCTCTTTCTGTGAGCCAGAATGTGCAAAGTCCAGGGGAGCTTTGCCTGCAGTCACACTGTGGTTGTGTTGTCCCTAGTGTGAGGTGCCATGCGACCCCTCCCCACTTGTGTCCCCTCCCACATGGCTCAGGGCTGAGAGTGAAGGAGCCAGCTCCTGGCATGTGGCCTCCTGAGATCACCCTGCTGAGTCTTTTTTGCTTGCAGGAGATTAACATGGTGTTGTTTAAATCCTTCAAGAAACACTCCAGCAGTGCTGTGACCTTTCACAGTTGTGGTTCCGAGAGTTCTTCCTGGAGCTGACGATGGGCAGGAGGATCCAGTTCCCCATTGAGATGTCCATGCCTTGGATCCTGACGGACCACATCCTGGAGACCAAGGAGGCATCAATGATGGAGTGAGCGTCCTGTGGGCCAGTCTTGGCTCTCTGTTTATGGTGACCAGGGTCCTTGTTGGCATTTGGGAGCTGGGAGGTGGAGGAAGGGGCCAGACTGTTCTTAGCACTTGAGTTGAGGTCATAATTCTTGGGATACGACTTCAGAGATTAATACAAGTAACAGGTTTCTTGGCTTTGAAATCAAGAGCTCAGGCAGTAGAACTAATTAAGTCCCACCATGTTCAGATGCTGGCCAGGCCCTGGGGACTTAGCTGGGGTCAGGGAGAGAAGATGTGGCCTGGCCTGTCACATGGCAGAGCCTCCAGCACAGACAAATTTGAAGGAGGAAGTGTTGATTGGACAGCTTTGTTCTGAGGTCAGGGCTCAGGGCCAGGACAGGGCTCAAAGACTTTCAAAATATGAAGTCCATGGAGGGAAAGTAATAGAAAAATGGGTGTCTTGTGGTGACCAGATCAGGGACTGACCCAGCAGCTGCTTCTGTTTGCAGGGCGAATGGTTAGCACCTCACCTTTGCCCATGCATGTCAGTTCTCACGTGGCGCCCGGGAGGATGGCCTTCCACTTTCTCTGGAGTGGCCATGGCATCTATTCTGCAGTGTCAGAGATGGTATGAGGAGGACAGAGACCCAACACAGAGGAGACCCAACACAGAGGTGTTGGTGTGCCTCTGTGTCATGCTTCTGGGATTGGGCATGGCCCTGCTGCGCATGTGGCCTCCCCTTGCCAAGCAGGAGTGGTTTGGTACCCTCAGAGGGAACTTACTCCTGGAGACCATTGGCCACCGCCTTTTGTCCAGACATGGGTCAGGGAGAGAGGGGCTTTTGGCTACACTGGACATGGTCATGGTCAACTGTGGGACCCAGGACCTTCATATATTTTTCTTTTTAAGTCAGTGTGTTCTTAAAAATAAGAAAATAACTTACTTTTGCGGTTATAGAAAATACCACCTACTTGTGGTGAAAGCTTTGACACAAGACAAGTGAGAAGCTGCAGTTATAGGAGACCCTTATGGATCTACCAGGTGCCTGGGCATGGCCTGAGTAAGGCATCCCCCCCTTGGAATAGGCCGGGCTGGCGTGAGTGCACCATCAGGGCCCTCGGCAAGAACCGAGTTTGGTGTTTGAAGTAAGAGAGCATTTTCCTCACGTGAGAGGACAATAGTAAAAGTTAAGTTTCTGGAGGTGTGTAGGGCGTGAGAGCCAAGAAGCCCTGTGTGGGAGGCTGGCTGACTGCTCGTCCCTCTGCAGGTACGTCCTCTACTCCCTGGACCTGTACAATGACAGTGCCCACTACGCCCTCACCAGGTTCAACAAGCAGTTTCTCTACGACGAAATTGAGGCAGAGGTGAGGGCCCAGGCACTGTAAACAAACTTTCTTTCATTTTCCTTTTCCTCTGATATTAGAGGAAGCAAACTTTCTTTATAATACAAGGAAGTTTAAACAATGGATTGAACTTTTGAAATAAACATTTTGGGATGAACCCTTCTATCTGCACTTTTCTCTGTGCATCTGCACGTGTGATGATTGGGGTCCTACCACATAAGCTGTGGGGTGACATACTTCTTCACTTGACAGCATGTCACAAGCACTTCTCTATCCTCACTGTCTTTGGTTATAGACACGGTCTAAAGCATCTTAAAGAAGATGCCCTGAACCAAGCCCTGTTTTATTTCTTTCATTTTAACTTTTTATTTTTCCTATTATAAATAATGCTTTGATTAACTTCTGGGCACATAATTTTTTAGTTGTGTTGGATTATTTCTCGAGGACAAATTCCTACAAGTGGAATTATTAAGTCTATGTATACACAACTAAGGAGATCAATCTTATTTTCTAGCTTAAGATTTAAGAGAACTTAACCTCAACAAATTGTATTGTGCAGCTGGGTCTCCTTCTCCACCTCCTCACAAAGACCACCAGAAAGCGCTTCTTTAGGGAGCTCTCATGGGCTCCTGGGTAATGCAGGGTGGGCGCAGGGCAGAGACCTGCAGGTCCTGGGGCCACTCTCCTCTGAGCACACGGCGTTCTCATCACAGTTCCGGGGCAGGGTGCTAGCCCCCTTTGCGAGTGAGGATATGGTTTCGAGGGTGAAGTTGCAAGGCTGTCTCCACCCTGTGTCTCCTAACTGACCTCAGTGTCCAGAGCAGCCAGCCCTGTGTCTGTGTCTCCTGAGAAACAGCCTGCTGGCAGAAGCTGCCCCCAGAGTGGGGACCCCACATGCAATGCACATTAACCCCCTGGGAACACAAGACGAAGACAGACTTTTTCATATTCCTTTGAGAGCAGAGAATAGGAGCATTTTTCTCCATCAGTAAGAAAGGTCTGATGTTATTTTCACTGGCTGTGCAGTGGTTACTCCTGGCCACACCATAATACGTTTAATCTGCTGTCGTTGGACAATAAGGTGGCTTCTTGTTTCTCTTTCCTAGTAAGAACCTCTGTTATTGCCTTTTTTTTTTTTTTTTTTTGAGGAAGATTAGCCCTGAGCTAACATCACTGCCAATCCTCCTCTTTTTGCTGAGGAAGACTGACCCTGAGCTAACATCCATGCCCATCTTCCTCCACTTTATATGTGGGACGCCTGCCACAGCATGGCTTGACAAGCGGTACACAGGTCCACACCCAGGATCTGAACCAGCGAACCCCGGGCTGCTGAAGCAGAACGTGTGAACTTAACCACTGCGCTACTGGGCTGGCCCAAGTTGCCTTTTTTAAAAATTTTACATCCCAGGACTTATTTATAATGGGAAATTTGTACCTTTTGATCACCTTCAACCATTTTGCCTACCCCCCCCCCCCTTTGGCAACCATCGATCTGTTCTTTGTATCTATGAACTTGGTTTTCTTTCTTAGATTCCACATATAAGTGAGCTCCTATGGTATTTGTCTTTCCCTGTCTGATTTATTTCACTTAGCATAATGTCCTCAAGGCCCGTCCATATTGTCACAAGATGGCAAGGTTTTTTCTTTTTTATGACTGAATAATATTCCTTCGTGTGTGTGTATGTGTGTGTACTACATCTTCTTCATCCGTTTATCCATTGGTGGACTCTTAGGTTGTTTCCATGTCTTGCGTTTTGTAAATAATGCTGCAGTGAACATGGGGGTATAGATATCTGTTCAAGACGGTAATTTCCTTTCCTTCATATGTATACCCAGAAGTAGAATGGCTGAATCAAAAGAGGTTTTTTGGTGTTATTTGATATTGATTTAGGGAATCAATCTAATACATGCTCTCTTTTTCTTCAGGTGAATCTGTGCTTTGACCAATTTGTTTACAAGCTGGCAGACCAGATATTTGCATATTATAAGATCATGGCTGGAAGGCGAGTATATGCCTTGTTATTTGAGTATGAAATTTTGGGTAACTTGACATGACATTTCCATTAAAATTCACAGCGTGTGAGAAACATCTTCTTTTCCTTCCGTACTAGCTTGCTTCTTGATAAACGGTTACGATCAGAATGCAAGAATCAGGGGGCGACAATCCATCTCCCGCCATCTAACCGCTATGAGACGCTCCTCAAGCAGAGGCACGTGCAGGTGAGCCAGGCTTCTGGGCATGGCGAGGTGTGGAGCTGGCACTAGAAATAGTGGGCTTTTCTTAGAGCTCACTAGGTTTTAATAGACTTCATATGTTATGTGACTGTGGGAACATCCTTATAAAATGTTAAGATTTTAAAGACAAACAGTTTCTCTTAGCTAACCTGAAACACAAGGGAAGACCTGTAGCGCTCTGCACCCGCGCCTGCCTGGGCCCCCACTGCAAGCTCAGCCTCACAGGGCTTGGCTCCTCTCCAGGAGCCCAAAAGCCAGAGCTTATAAGAATGAAGGTGAGAAACAATTAATTGTCAGCTCAGAGTGTCAGAGAGGCGCTTTCCCTTGGCCAGCACAAAGAATACAGTGCTTGTTTTTTGTTTCTTTAAAAACAGTATGTATACATCACAAAAAAATTAGGAAGATAGAGAAAACCCTGGGGAAAATTCCATGTAATTGTGACTACAGATAACAACCATTCACATTTTGGGACATTTTCCACCAAGGTTTTGTCTGTTTCTATGCTATTGAAATGATGTTGAGGTACACATATGTTTGTAGACTCTGAACAAGAGGTGGGGTAATTTTCTTCCTCATTGTTAGAACTCTGGAGAGCAGGTGTGCACAGGCAGCTCTGTGCTGGGAGATGGTCATGAGCACCATCCTGAGGGGTGTGCTCACTGACAGACCTCATTCTCCAGGGTCTCTGGTGAGGCTTGGGATTTCTGCCCGAGATGTAAGCATAAGTTCAATGCAAAGGACACTGCAAAAGTTCTTTACGGCTTTGACTTGCAGAATTTCAGCTCCAGGAAGGTAGGGCATTTGGTTGTGACACCTGTATATATAATTTCATCTAAAATGTTTACAGTTTTGTACAGTATTTATTTGTTTTATCTTTTAGAATTGGTTTCTGGAGGGTGTATGTCTGTATATTTTCTTGCTTGCTTGTTTTTGTTGTTCACTCTTTCTGCCCTCTCCGTACCCCAGCTCCTGGGCAGGTCCATAGACCTCAATCGTCTGATTACTCAGCGTGTCTCCGCAGCCATGTATAAGTCTCTGGAACTGGCAATTGGACGCTTTGAGAGTGAGGACCTGACATCAATAGTGGTAAGTGCTCTCCCCTTTCTCAGGCTCCATAGATTTGGGGGAGACTGGCTGCAAGGATTTAAGCTGATTTTACTATGTCCTTACTGATAAATTGAACCAATCGTAGGTTCACTTTTTGCACAGAAATCAAAAAGTATGCACTAACGGAGCTTCAGCTATCCTGGGTATGTTTTTAAGCATCTGCTGTTAGTATTCACAGTACTAAATTGACTTCAAAGAACACTCAATCTCAGTCTCGAATAAATTACACCTAACTATGGCAAAAGAATGAAAGGAGAAAAGTTTTAAAAATCAACAAGAAATGAAGACAGAGATAAAGGATTTGAGAGAAAAATGTATAGAAGATAGACCGTGAAGATCCAACATAGATGGCATAGGGGTCCCTGAAGAAGAAAACCAGAGCAATGGATGCAACAAATATTAAAGTTGTATTTCAAGAAAATATTGATTAAAAAACACACTATAAATATATATTAAAAGCATGCATCATGTGCCTGGTAAAACTGACCCAGAGTGGCAACACCAAGGAATATTGCAGTAAAAGTATTGGACTTTAGAGGAAAAGAAAAAGTCCTCTGGGTATCTGAGCAGAGCAGTCAGGGAAGGAAAATCCGATTGTCCTCAAACCGCTGCCAGCAGCTCTTTGTGCCAGAAGCCAAGGAAAGGAAGTGGGAAGTAAGGATTTTGTGCCAAGCCAAATCGATCTTCCAAGAATGATGGCTGCACACCAATGGTAGTGAACATGCCAGAAGTCAAGGAAGATTCTTCTTTACTAGAGAAGCAGCTTTGGGCAGGAGAATGTAAGAAGCCTTGGTGGGGTGAGGGGCTGTCGCCTCAGGACACACTAAAAGATTGAGCTTCCCCAAGTAGGGTCTTGGACCATGGCATTTTAATTGTCATTGGCCATATATGATTTGGATTGCAATCATCGGTCAAGACTTTGACCTAGACCTGCACTGCCCATTACAAATATAATGCAAGCCACATAGATCATTTTAAATTTAATCACAGTCACATTAGACAAGGAAAAAGAAATAGGTGAAATTAATTTTAATAATCTATTCTGTTTAACCCAATATATCCAAAAATTAACAATTCAACATGTAATCATTATAAAAATATTATTGACACAGGTGTCTTACATTCTTTGTCTTCATACTCGTTTTTTGAAATCTGGTGTGTATCTCACATACACAGCACACCTCAGTTTGGACCAGCCACATTCTTGTTCCTATATGTGGCCAGTGGCTGCTGCAGGGGACAGCGCAGACCTAGGCAGGTTTTTATGAGCAATCAGTGTGAAAGCTCCTGTGAACATGCTTGCCAGCTCTGCCACACTGTTGTGCTTATGAATAACCCCAGGTGCATTGGAGAAGGTGACTCAGGCTAACAGTGAGTACATATGTGGTGGTGGACACGTCCCAGTGGTCTCTGACCTGTAAGGTGGTTGGAGGCCAGTGGTGTGCAGGGGGGAAGTGACTGCAGTGGAAAAGGACAATGGCCCTGTAGGGGTGACCATGGTAAGGAGGGGCATTTTAAAGGCAGTAGGGAGGGCATAATGAATTTAGGTGTGAGAAGCAAGCTTGTGTTGCCTATCAGACCCTGCCATGTCTTGGTGTAGCTTGCTTGCCCCTCCTTGGTATGGGCACTGTTTTTGGCCTCTCCCCCACCCCCGCCACCACCATCAGAGCACTGTCTGTGTGGAGAATGAAGGTCACTGTGCTGGGCCCAGTTCTGTCCTCGCACCCTGTCTTTGTGGTCCCTAGGAGCTGGACGGCCTCTTGGAAATCAACCGCATGACCCACAAGCTGCTCAGCAGGTACCTGACACTGGACAGCTTTGACGCCATGTTCCGGGAGGCCAACCACAACGTGTCGGCACCTTACGGGAGAATCACCCTCCATGTCTTCTGGGAACTCAACTATGACTTCCTGCCCAACTACTGCTACAATGGCTCTACCAACCGGTGAGCGTGCTGCCTCACAGATGGTTCCCGATGCTTCTGCCAAATGATATCTAGACAAGATGGTCTCAGACCCTCCAGTATGTCCACTGGGTCACCACCGCCCCTTCTTCTGTGCCCATCAGGATACTCAGGCCCTCCTGGTCTCGTCCATTTTGCATGTGCATCCCTGGGCTAGCCGTTGGGCGTCTGGTCGTGGCTTTGCAGTGGAGACTGCATGGCAAGCCAGAGTTCCTGTCTAGGGCACTTGCTTGTGGCTTAGGGTGGCATCTCATGCACGTGAACAGCGGCTGCCGGGTCTGCATCCCCTCCACAGTTTTAAGTCTCCCTGACATTGGACTGTGGTGGGTGACTCTACTTTTCATGGTTCCATTCTGGGATATCGGGGTGTGTGAGGATCTGTCAGTTAGCCACCCTCCCACCCTCCTACCATTTTACTGCTATGTTGAACAGCACAAAATAGCCACTTGGATGATGGGACGGTTGAGAGCAGCAGTTTCATGTGGTCCAGCCTCATGATACAGCCCCAAGTCCTGGATGGCCCTGCCTTGGCCTCCATGCACTGGGCCACCATCTATAGGAGATTTGTTCTCTCTGCACTTAGCTTGGTTCCATCTCTGCGTCAGCACATGCCAGGGACATGGCGTGAGTGTATGTGTGTGTGAGTGTATGTGAGAGAGAAAATGTGGGTGTGTGAGTGAGAGCACATGTGAGTGTGTGAGAATAAACATGGATGTGTGAATGTGCATGAGAGTGTGTGAGTGTAAGAGCTAGAAAGTTTAGGTATGAGGGTGTGTGTGCATTTGTGACAGTGTGTGTGAGTGTTACGACCACTTTTTAAAAATAAGCGTGTTCTATTTTGTTTTGCTTTGCTCCTGGATCTGAACATCCACCATGTATTAGCTGAATTGTTACTCACTTTCAGACCCAGAGTTTTGGGTCTCAAGAGGGGGTGCTGAGCTCTGATTGTACCTGCTGTTGCCATTGTCAGTTGGGGCTCCAGGGTTGGATTTCCCTGTGGGGTGGCAGGCCTGTCCCCAGGTGCATGGAGCTGTTCCGTCAGAGCCATTGGCCCAGCCCCAGGTGGCTGATGCCCATCCCCAGGCAGTGGTGGTGGGGACATGGCCATGGCCTCCAGAACCGTGGGTGGAGGAGCCTGGCTGGGTACAGTCCACTGGGAGCAAACGTTAGAGACGACTACTCCCTGTTTAACTTCCTTTTAAGATGCCTAGTTTACTGAAACAGATATTTTTCAAGTTGTTATAGAGTCTGAATTAACTGAAAATATATTTTTGTTACACAAATAATGCATGATACTTACAGAAAAGCTAGAGATCATATGTGTGTGTGTGTCTACATATGTCTATATATATCTCACTCTCTATATAGGGAAAAATTGTATATGGAGGAAAAATAATTAAATCCCCAGAGATTTCCCTTGTAAAAAAATGTGTGTATCTTGTAGAGTTTTTGCCGTACAGTTAAACATGCATAGGTATTTTTATTTTGCACAAATGGGTGCTATTAGGCATACTGTTATATACACATTCTTTTTCCAGGTGACGTATCAGGAGGAGCATCGTTTTGTGTTAGTGAGGATGCGTATATGCTCCTTCTGCATCTGAGAATCCGTTTAAGCGATGGCCAGTGTTCGCAGGGTTCTCTTTGTTTTGGTTGGTCCATTGAAACCTTTGGGAGTGATTTCTGTTAGCTTTCCTTAAATCATTTTTGC